GACGTTTCAGGCCTAGACCCTTCTTCAGAAAAAGTCTAGGCCCGAAACGTCAGCTTTCCTGCTCCTCTGATGCTGCTTGACCTGCTGTGTTCATCCAGCTCTACACCTTGTTATCTCAGCCTGTGTGTGTGTGTGCGTTGGGGAGAGACGGCAATGGAAATAATCACTTATGATCACCATGCAGAAAGTTGTGACTTTATCAGTTCAATAAGAAATTTTAAAGTGAAGATAGGAGTGATTCTTCATTGGGTTGAGCGTCTGTGAAGGATATTATTGGGAATAACTGTTGAGTTTTTCCTTTTCCTATTTATGATAAAACCTTTCAAAATTGTTATTCAAATCATCATAATTTTTTTCATTTTGTGTGATAAAGTTATGTTCTGTTGATAAAGATAAATCGATTGAGTCATGAGAATATGTTCAGTAATTGATCACTATGTTCAATCAAATAAATTGCAAAATATATTATAGTGAATCAAGCCAGGTTTCACTGACTTCTCTATATTAACATAAACTGGGATTACGATAAGATAAAGAGGGAGAAAAATGGAAGGCAAGTTAATCAGGATTTTAGCTATAGTTCCATATATTTTACATGTTCTGGTGAGTTTATAAAAAATAAATAAATTCCTTATAAATCTGTGTCTTATATTTGGAACTTTCATGCTGTGTCTACAATCGGTACAATATGAGAAATACCATTTATCAAGTGCTGTGTAGCTGATGCATAAAGGTATCACACTGAGGGAATTGTTCACAGCACAGTCAGTGCTATTAAACTACAGAAAATTCATACAAAGGAACAAGGTATGATTTGTACATAAGGGGTGAACTTGCGGTAGGTTGGGTAAGACCAAAAGATACAAAATAAAAACTAAAAGATGTGGGAGAGAAGAACAGAAAGTCAGGACAAAAGACTGCCTTTTTTTAATCACTCAGGAACATCATGAAAATGCTTCAAGCACAATGAATAATGTTTATGTGCAATGGCTTGTTCTTGGTTGCTGTTGGTGCAAGCTCAAACTGGTGAGACAACTGTCTGGATTTCACCCTCTCCCATTGCTGGGAGTGAAGGTAACGGGAGCTCATTAAATGCAGCTTGTGGCCTTCCAGACCAGACATGTCTCCAATTCTACACAGAGCTGTGGAGATTTCTGGTGGTCTGCACACCCTTACAGAAGGAAGTCTGAAAGCTGTAGCCATGCAGACTGGTATTGGACAGGAGAGATAACTCCTGTGAGGTTCCCTTATGCCCATGAGATTCTTCACAAGGTCATAACCTTCCTTTAATCTTTCCTCCTCCAGCTGGTTTCTCAAGCCAAGCCTCTCCCGCAGCCTCCTTATACACTCCCCTGCCAAACACCAGTAACTTAATGGGAGTCTGGCCTCAATATTCTCCTCTTCTTCAGAACTGGCCTCAGCAGTCACCTCTTGAATCTGGCACTGCTGGGACTACAGAGCTGTTAGCCAATTCAGTTGGCCAGCAGCTCTCTAAAACGGCACTTCCTCCAAGGATAGGGACAGAAGTCTCCACTTTAGCCACAAACCCTAGCTGTGGGGCAGCAGCTTTTTGGTAATGGTTTTCCCATGATGTTCTAGCTGGGGCAGCTGAGAAACAGAGCATCCTGTAAAATCCAGTCCCATGGAGTTGGCGTATTCACAACTTACAATAGTGTCTGATGTGGTATTGTTACATTACGCCTAATAACAACTCAAATTTATGTAGCATCTCTAGTGTAGTTAAAAACATCTCACCACACTTCACAGGAGTTTTAACAAGCAAGATTTGACTCTGAGCCTCATAAGACGATATTAGGACAGAATACTAAATGCTTGGCTGCAAAGCTGGGCTTTCAGGAGTGTTTTAAAGGTGGGGAAATGGTAGCAAGTTGAAGAGGTTCAGGAAAGGAATTCCACAGCTTAGGGCCTAAATGGCTGAAGCTGAGCCACCAATGGTGGTGAAATGTCAATTGGAGATGTGCAAGAAATTAAAATTATGGGAGTACAGCAATCTTGCATGTTGTAAGCAATAATCTTGCATTTTTATTTGTTGGTGTGCACAACCTATTCATTTAAGTACTCTGCCCCTTAAAGTTATTTTGTGCAGCCATACCGTTGTGGTAATTTAAAGGGGAGGTATTGTGTTTGGCCTTGTGGGTTGCTGCCCTGCCATAAGGTTTAGAGGAACGTTGGTTTCAAAGAAAAGGCCAAATGGAACTCTGGTTGGATATGAAAACAAGAATCAGAATATTAAAAAATTGAAGGATTGCTAGGCTGAGAGCCAAGTTGCATCAACAGACGTGTAGGTAAGCAGTAATTTGTGTGAGTGAAAGTGCAAGCAGCAGACTTTTGGATTAACTCAAGTTTATGGGGGATAGATGGTCTGATCTGCAGTACTTTTGGAATAGTAAAGTCTAGAAGTAACAAGGTCATGAATAAAGGTTTCAGCTGCAGTTGACTCATTGACAGAACTGAGTTGACAGATAAACACAACAGCGACAGACGAATTATACACCAGGTTACAGTGACAAGGCCATGAGTTTGCAGTCTCAGATTTTATTTTCTTCAGTTGCCATTTGATTCTTTCTATTCTTTTCATTGGCAGCTGCAATGAGTTCAGTGTAACCAGTGTTGGAGGCAATTTGTCACAAAACCTATTACATCATTTAAAACAGCAATTCTGTCCTTTCTGCTGGCCAGGACGCCAGAAACTCTGCTGGAAACTCATCGATAATGTCCCATTGTTGACATTTATTTTTCTAATTGAACATAATTCCACAGCAAAGAAGTCATTAACTTAAAATGACCTGGAAAGCCAGTGTAAACAAGCTTTTCGGCTTACTAGGCTCTACTGTAAATCGAGGATTAATATTTAAACAGCATAAACCAACAGCACCTCATTAAATCCATGGCTTTTAAAATTAATAACTCAATGAGCTTTTACATGGCTAAGTCAAAATGCATGCAACAATATATATTGTTTCAAATATGCATAGTTACAACAATAACCAGAATCGGTACACGTGTTGTTAAAACAATTGCATATAATATTATAGTTGCAGCTCTACATAATGTCGACTTTTTCTCAGTAGTTCATGATCATCAACAAAAATTGACATTATTGGTGAAAATGTAAAATGGTGGTCACCAGCATTTAAGGATTAAAGTTACCTGAGCATATGTAAGTCTTGTCTGGGCATAACCATTCCTTTCCCTTACTCTGTTTGCCTACTATGCAAGCATGTTAATTATTCCTACTCTTGGATCTATCTTGCATTCTTTCATTCATAACTGAAAGATCAACTCGCATTTTATGTGGTACCTTTAACATAATTAAACACTGCAACATGTTTTACAGCACAGGTAATTGATATAATGCAGGAAATTGTAGAGTGGAAAGAGGTGACCCCTCAAAGAGATAAGTCTGGAGAAGCTTCTAAAACAGGTAGCAGGATGAAGACTGTTGGGAGATAGGTTTAGCATTCAGGTTCATATGCTGGTTATCGCTCTGCCTTTGACAGTCATTGGAAGGAAGTCAGGGCAAACAGGACACTGGAGTCAGAGAATGCGGAGAAGGCATTTGGGACAGATTTCTTAATTTTCCAGTAGTTCTATGGGATTTTTGTAAATTTGCTTAACCCACTGGAAAAATAGGCACAGCTTCAGATTAATATCTCATCTGAACTATAGCATCTCAAGCAAAAAAGACACTGTTAGTCAAGAAGTCATATTGTCATGAAGAACATGTGATTAAAGGAAGTAACTGAATGTAGAGGGACATTTTGGGTACAATGATCTGATACCACATGAGGCAGATTTGAAGATGCCAATGTAATCAGTTGTCAGCCACAGACATTCAACAATGGGATTTGATGACTGTAGCCAAGGATCTTTAGGTAAGTTCAGGTGACAACTTAGCAATCTGTTGCTCCTGATTATTGACACATTCATAAACAAGATATTTTATTTTCTCTACATCTTAAGATAAATTTGAGCATTAAATATTTATCCTGGTATTTTTTGTTTCCTTCTTTTAAAATTTAGTCTTTTTTTCCCTCAAATTTACACTCAGCAAATGCCGTAAAATGTTGGAACATGGAGAAATAATAAATGATATTTGAGAACATTAAAACTTGCCACTCCAGTATGACGTGAGCCACTTATCGCTCTTGATCACGTACAGTAACAAATTCTGCAAAACAGAACTGAAATTTAAGCCTCAAGCACAGGTCTTTAGACATATAATCCCTACAATGTGGAAGCAGGCCATTCAACCCATACCAAACCTCTGAAAAGCATCCACCCAGACCCCATTCTATCACCATACCTCAACATTTCCCATGGCCAATCCACCTAACCTGCACATCTTTCGACTGTGGGAGGAAACTGGAACACTCAGAGGGGACCCATGCAGACACGGGAGAACGTGCAAACTCCCCACAGACAGTGGCTCAAGGTTGGGGATCAACCCAGGTCACTGGAGCTGTGAGGCTGTGGTGCTAACCACTGAGCCACCATGTCAACTCAACAGGTGTCTTTTGTGTATGACTACAAGGAGCCTGCAATTTTGACTTATAGCAGTTTGGTGTTGACTTAATTCCGTCTGTTCCATTTTACTTTCGCTTAAGGGAAAGTTGTCTGTTGATGCAATTACCTCCTCATGGATAGACTTCCACAATAATAAAAAATCTTTAGTCATATGATTCTCTGTCTAACCAATGAAACCGAATTTTTCCCAACTCCTCAAAAGTGAGTTATCATGTGCTGGTATCTACCATGTAAGTAGGAAGTAAATAGGCATGATTCCAAAAAGTAAAATGTAGTCACCTCCAACAATTCAGCAATCACTGGACTCCAGCAAGCATCTCTTAACCAGACATCATAAGAAAAGCTTTGCCTGGATTAGGAGATCGTTTTGCTCTGAGGAATGCTCCGTGAAGATTATTATTAAATAGTAGGCATTTAACAGCAAGAATAAGCATCTCACTTTCAACGGCACCCCTACAAAATTGATCTCCAAGCAGAGTGGTAAGAAATGCTGGTCTTCTGAATAATTTAACAATGACAACTTGCATTTATTAAGTACCATCATCGTAGGAACAAGTCTCAAGATATTTCACAGAAGTATGTCTGAACAGCAGGCCACATAATGACATCAGCACAGATAGCTAAAGATTTTGGTAAATGTTATGTGCCTAAGTTGTGTTAAAGAAGGGCAGGGTGGTAGAGGGTGGAGATGTTTAGAGAGAGGATATCTGCACTTATGACTTGAACAGCTGAAGACAGGATGAGCGCAGCAATCCTGGGCGGGGGGTGGGGTTGTAGAAGAGCTTTCAGAAATGGGGAGGGGCATGGCACTGGAGGGATTGAAACAAGTTTGAAAATTTTACAACTGAGGTATTGCCAGCCCAGGAGCCAGTGTTGATTTGTGAGCATAGGAGAGATGGACGAAAGGTAGTAGTTGGATATGATTAGAGGAGTTTGAATGAGCTCATTTTGATAGATAGTGGAAGAGGAGTTGTCAGTTAGGACTTTTGTAACAATCATGTCCTCTCAGGCACCTCGGGATATTTACAATGTTGAAAGTACAATACAATGCATTGTTGAATGGTGCACAAGTGTGGCTTTTTCTTATCATTTTGGATAGTAAAGGCACAGATAAGGATTTCAGCATCAGATGGGATGAAGCAGGGGCAAACACTGGTACTGTTACATAGATGAAGATATGTGGTATTAATGATGGCATAGACATGTAACTTTTATTCATCACAGGGTCAAATGCTAACACCAGCTTCACACAGTTGCCAAGGAAAAAGATAGTGTTGAAGTCTAACGATGAAGTTTATGGTTGAATAGTTGCAAGGATTAGTGGTAGCCACATTTTACTTTTTTAAAATGTTCCGATTAATTCCAGAGTAGTTAGATAGCTGCCATCAAATCAAGACCTCTCAATTGTGTGAGATTGGGTGAAATGGCAGTTTCTTTAGTTACTAAGGGAACCCTATGGATAAGGGTATAGCAGGAGCTGCAGATGTTGGAAGTCAGAGTTGATACAGTTTGGAGCTGGAGGAACACAGCACGTCAGGCAGCTTGAGAGGAGCAGGAAAGTCGATGTTTCAGTCCTGCTGAAGGGTGCCAACCTGAAACTTCGACTTTCCTGCTCCTTAAATACTGTCTGACCTGCTGAGCCCCTCCAGCTCCACATTGTATCGACCCTGTGGATAAGGGTTATTTATTCACTGCTGAAGTCTATCAGTGATAAAATGTAAAGAATTCACAGATTCATCGATGAATTTGTGGCTTTGTTGAGATTGATCTCTGCAGGCTATACTTTGAAATCAGTTGCATAAGTCAAGCTGCAACATTTGACCAGGCTTTAGTCAAGTGCATTTTACCCTGTGGTTGTAAATCAAAAAGGCAGCATAGCACACCACTGAATGAATGATTTTTAAAATGATAAACAGGTCAAAGCACGTTTGTAAAGCTTTATCTTGCTGTACGGTCTGCCACTCTTCAACACCACCCAGTCGCTACATCTTAGGCCATGTCATTTCTTCAACCCTTCCAGCAATTAAATATTTCTTCAATTTAAAAAAATATAAAGAGGGTCCTTAACTTATAATTTTCTAACATGCCCTATATAAATGCACTCAGCTGTATATGAGATAGTAAGGTCAAATTACTGTTTGCAATATCATCATTTATTAATAAGTCCCGTCGCAAGAAAGTGCTTAGAAGTTTGGTTGTAATCAAATCAAACTTTGCACCTGAAGTGAATACAACACGTATTCATCTACATAGCAATACATTTTCCAGAGGTTTAAAAACAAGAAGAGTCAGATATCAAATGGCGACAAATACCTAATCAATAATATCTAGCACGGCTGCCTCACAGCACCAGGAATCTGGGTTCGATTCCAGCCTTGGGTTACTGCCTGTCTGAAGTTTGCATGTTCTCCCCATGTCCACCGAGTGCTCTGGTTTCCTCCCACTGTCCAAAGATGTGCAGGCTCGGTGGATTAGCCATAGTTAATACAGGTTTATGGGAAGTGGGTGGGAGGTCTGGGTGGGATGCTCTTCAGACAGTTGGTGCAGACTTGATGAGCAAAATGGCCTCGTTCTGCATTGTAGGCATTCTATGATTCCACATCTTCTCCCCAAGGGCTTCTTCATAAAGGCAGAGGGAAAAATTGAGTGTTGTATCAATGGAGCAAACATTAGGAAAATTGTGCAGAGAGTTAGTCAAGGAGGTGACTTTTAAGGATGGTATTTAATAAGACCAAATAGTTGGAGAAACAGTACAGTTTAGGAGATGAATTACCATTTGTAGGGCTTAAACAACTGAAGGCACAATCACAGTGGTGGGGTAAATGGAGGGGGAACAGAAAGGATGTTGTAGGATTGGAGCATGCTTTGGATTTAGAAAGAAGTGGGACACTTAGAAGTTCAAGTGCATAAAGAAATTTAAATTTGTTTAGGCCATTTCCCTTTGACATACAATGATGTTAACATCACTGAATCCCCCACCATCAAGAACCTGGGTTTATCATTGAAAAGAAATTGAACTGGATCAGCTGCATGAATTATGTGGCTAAAGAACAGGTCAGAAACTGGGAATTCTGAGGTGGGTAACTCACTCCTGACTCCCAAAGCCTGACTACCACTTGCAAGGTTCAAAGCTGGAGTATGATGGAGTAGTCTCTTGTTTGGATGGATACAGTCCCAACAAAACTCTAGAAGCTTGACACAATGCAAGACAAAGCAGCCAGCTTGATTGGCACCCCATCTACCACCATAAACATTTAATCCCTCCATCACACGTGCACAGTAGCAGCAGTGTGTGCCATTTACTAGATTTACTGCTTCTTTGACAGCCTCTTCCAAATGTCTGGCCTCTACCTACTAGATAGACGAGAGCCACAGACAGATGGGAACATCACCTCCTCAAAGTTCCTCTCCAAGCCGCAAACCATTCTTCACCATTACTGGATTTAAATCCTGGAACTTCCTTCCTCACAACACCCTGTGTATTCCTAAACACAAAGAATTGCAGGAATTCAAGAAGGCAGCTCAGCACCACCTTCTCAAGAGCAATTAAAGATAGACAACAATTTTAAATTTGCTTATGTCACCCTGTGCCTTTTTCTGAAATCCTCAACCATCCCTTTGTCTTCTTGAAGATATTCTGGAGCTCTTATGGCTAACCTCCCACCCTTCCTTCACCCACAATTTTCCTGGCTGTATGCCTGTCCACATCAAATTACACTTACATACTTGATGACTTTCACTGTCTGCTGACTCCTTAATACTTGATAATTTAAATTCTCATCCTTATGTCCTCTTCTCTTTATCCCTGTAACCACTTTCATCCTTTTTATCCTCAAAACTCTCCGGTTCTCCGATTCTGGCCTTTTTTTCATCCATGCCTCCCTTCACACTATCATTAACAACTATGCCACAAATCACTGAGAGACATCCTATTGCATTCATGTCCCATGTGCTCCAACTTTTTAAGAACTTCTTACACCCTCCTTTTTGTCAAAGCTTCTCTTATCCATCCAAATATTTCATCTTTGCAACGTAAACAGTTGCATATTGACCATCCATATCAGAGCGAACTGGAGGAGTTGAATGATATACTCCTGTTAGTACATTTCAATGCCCTTAAATAAATGCAAGTTCTTGCTGAGATTGCTGCTATTTTCCAACTGATATGCAATCCATTCAAGAAATCATTTCTTAAAATTTCCAAAAAGTAAAAGCATCAAGAATCAAATCTATCACCATTCCATTTCAGCACACATTAAGCTGCCAGTATAAAATAAACTCTTTCTTTCTGATTGGAAATTGTGTGACAGTAATTATAATGCATAATTTAACATGGTACTTCTGGTAGTTTTAGAGAAAAGCATTAAGAAATGCCAATTCATTTAATACACAAAATGTTCGTAATTTTATCTGTTTTTTGATATTTTGGATTTGAAACATTCAGTTTCTTGGTCTGATGCTCATTCCCACAGCATCAGATTGATCAATGGCAAAGTTGGGAAGGTGAGGAAAAGAATCAGGCATACCATGACTGGAGAACGTACCATCTGCAAGTTGTATGGCAACAACTTGTTACGCTTTCTCAGACATGCCCTATTAAATCTGTGATCTCCAAAAGCTGGAAGCACATAGCCAATAGGCATGTGCAGTACAGATAACAGGCACATGGGAAACCATACCTCCAAGTTGTCCCTCTGGTCACACTTCGCACTGCCCCAGAATTATATCACCATTGCTTCATTGTTTACTGGCTCAATATCCTGGAACTCCCATAACAATTCTGTTGGAGCATCTTCATCACAATGATTCAGGAAGGCAGCTAAACAGAACCTTTCAAAGGCAACTAGAAATGGACAACATGTGTTCAACTTGTACATTACATACATATTGGACAACTACTTTTTTATAAATGCTGATGGGGAAGTCTTTTGACTTAACTCTGAATTTAAAAGACAACGTAAGGCCCAATATAATTTCCCAAATTTGTACCAAAACAAAAAGTAGTCTTGAACAAACTGGATTTGTGCTGTTGTTAATGTAATGGTTCTGAATTGTTTAATGTTCATGTTACATTGGCTCCATCAATTCTGCTAACATTGTCCATTATGTCGGGGTGGGGGGCGGAGACAAGGAATTCTACTGTAGCCTTCAACAGGAGCAGATATATCTGTAACAGATCCCTAAGCTCCTAGTATCTATGTCTGAACAAATGTAGCTGTAGTTATTGCCACCGCTAATCCTGTTATTTAAGACGCTTCTTCTGTAGATACTCCATGGTATATCCTCTACCACTGATCAATAGATTGTCCCAAGTTAAAGGGGAATTGGAGGCAGAGAACTAACTCAAATAACCATTACACAAAACAACTCATTGGTAGAGGTGGAAATACACGAAAGTATCAGGAGTGTTCATCTGAATATATATTCCTCAGTTATTGTTGTTAATTGCTTGGATTACAGACCACACAGCCTGTATCATGACATTTGACGTTCTGATGTAAAGATTACCGGCCTCACCTTCAGTCAGGCTATCAGAGCACTGAGGATAGTGTAATGTGTTCAGTCTTTTAGTCATGTATATGTAACACACAGCAATAATCAATCAGCACAGAACTCGGTTTATATGCAAGTCTGTGGTATTTTAGTAACATAAGTTGTTAACATTCATTAATAAACTTCAAAACATTTGGCTCAGCAAGAACCCAGTCTATGCAGTATATGTTATATGAATTAATATATCAGAGAGCTCTCAAACCATATCATATGGGCAATGGCGTTTTGCTCAAGCAATAACAACAATTGTAGTGATACAGATTCAGGTTCTGTACAGAGAGGCCCACCAGAAGAAGAAATATGAAGGGGCAGAAGAAAAGGAAAAAATTGAACCAAGGGAGTTTACCACTTAAAGGGAATTATCAGTTTAAGAAGAGACATAGTTGTCAAGCAACTGAAACATTGACCAGACAGTAGCTGCTGTAAAAGCAGTTAAAAGGCAAGTTGAGCACTCCACAGGCAAAACATCATTCAGAAGTTGGTAAGAAGCACTGCTGCAAGCGTGTGAGATAGCAAAAGAGAGAAAATCTAGCCACACTTAGAAACACTTAGCCACACAGGCAAAACATCATTCAGAAGCTGGTAAGAAGCACTGCTGCAAGAGTGTGAGATAGCAAAAGAGAGAAAATCTAGCCACACTTAGAAAATACATCGAAGAGATTTTAGTTAAGGAGGTTCGGCAAGGAGCAACATAAGGCTCCAGGATATGAAATTAAAGACCTCCAAGATCTTGGGGATTAACGAACAATGGCAGAAAGATCTGAACAGGAAAGTAAGGGAATGTAAAAGAAATATCTCACCTCTCATAGCCAGCATAATTACCCTCGACATCAGTTCTCCAAGATGCAGCTACAAGAGCCAATGAAAGAACCAAAAAAGAAACTTAGACCAGGATGACAGAATCAGGAAGACCCCAAAACATATTTAAGGTGAGAATGAGTAAATCTGAAGAAATCCACTGAGAGCATCTAACAGGAGATAAAAGACAGAAAAAAAAGTAAAAATTTGAAAAGATTGAAACTTTACAATTAAGCCACAATTTCAGTGGCAAGATTTATAAAGGTCATAGCCAGAGAATTTTATGTAACAAAATGCATAAAATAAAGTGTTTGGTGTTTTAGACCATGAAAGACAGGAAAACATTAATTTTGCTTGGGGAAGAAAACAAGGAAGTTCCACCTTGGCTGCAGGAGATGGTGAATCCAGCTTCTTAAGGTCCTGGTAATTAAAGCTGACCCAATGTAGTTGTACTGATTGCTATCTTGCAATAAAATTTGCTATTTGAGAACACTTCCTCTTTTGTAGATACGCCATAGTGGTGTCTTTTCTACCATTGTTTTTGTTCGCTCATGGGACATGGGCATCGCTGGCTAAGCTAGTATTTATCGCTAGATGTCCCTAGCTGCCCTTAGGATGGTAGTCCTGAGCTGTCTTCTGGAGTCACTGCAGACCACACCAACAATAGGCCCCAAGGCAAAGCAGTGCAAAGCAGGATGGGTGGCAGTGAATGACTTCAAACAACTTTTACCCAGTACCTTTGGTCGAGATTGCAAATACCACCCAATACTGGGGTGGTCATCAGGGAAAATGCTACATGTACCTTCAAAGTTTCATTTTTTTTTAGTGTGTTCCAAATGATTTGTGCTAACATCACTTGATGTTTTAGTCTGCTGAAGGCTTGTGGTATTTCAATGATGATGAATACATCAGCTCAGTTTCTTGCTGCATGGATACGGAAAATGGATTTGGAAAGTGTCCCCAGGGAAAGCCTGAATGCAACCAATAGGTTGAGAGTTAAAAAAATGAATAAATTTAAATAGCATCAGCAGCTCTGCTCAGTGGAAGTGTTTAAAAATAACTCTAAGTCTAAAATCAAACATTGTATTTTTCGTTAGGATCTATTCCACTAGAGTGAACAGACAAACAAATCCATATTTCTTCATCAGTCTGAGAGCGCCTCAGATATTTAAAATACCGATCAGAGAAAATTATTTTGTGAATACAAATCATAGAGCAATACAGCACAGATGGAAGTCATTGACTCTCTTGTGTCTGTCAGGTCTCTGCTTGAGCTATTATATTAATTCTACTCCTCTGTTCTATCCACATAACCTGTATTTTTTTTTTCTTTTCAAGTATGCATCCAATTCCCTTTCAAACTCTACTGTTGAATCCACTTCCACCACCCTTTCAAGTGATGCATTTTATATCATATCAGCTTGTTGCATAAAAAAAGTCTTTCCTCAAGTTGCCTTTGACTCTTTTGCCAAACACATTAAGCCTGTGTCATCTAGTTGCTGGGAATGAGAGGTTCTTGGCATGTGGAGATGTTGGAGTTACTCTGTTTAGATCAGAGAAGGTTAGAGAAGATATGATAATGCTGTTCAATATTATGAATGATTTTCATAGAATAAGTAAGAGGTAACAGTTTTCACTAGCAAGAGGATCACTGTGAGTTTGGGTGGTTTGTGAATCGGATAAGTTGGACCCAATGGGTAATTACAAAACACTTGCCTTTTGGATCCACCAGTCTTCACCTTCCTTTAGCCATCAGGTTTCACCAAGGTCTGGAAAACCTGTCCAACAAGGGTTAAAAATGGAGGTATATAGTCTCATTCCAATACTTGATTGTCCAACCCGTGTTCTCCCTCTCTTAGGCAGGTTGGAAGAAGATTGCAATGAAGAGTCAGGTTTTTAACTTTTTAACACCTCACCTGAGGCTGGTCTGCCCAATCCTGGGGGTTAAAATTCCCTAAGGGCTGCAGCAGTTTACATGTTGTCTTGCCACTGTAAAGGTTCTACCTGTATATAATTCCTTATCAACATTCTTGAAGTGCTTAACACTCAATCATTGCATCCCAGGGATCATTAGTTCTATGCACAGGTAACATAGAATGGGGAAAGAGACCCATTGTATTTGCTCTTCACCAACACAGCCCAGGAATCACTGAGTATTCCCCCATTTGAAGTAGGTGGACTAATGCTTGTTCCATACACTAGCCCAATTTAACAAGGTAAATGAGACATAATAGTTTCTCCTCTCATTTTTCACCACTTTTGCTTTGTGGGATAATAGGGATTAGTTCAGCTCAGTTAGTTGGCTGGCTGGTTTGTGATGCAGACTGACATCAATATCACAGGTTCAATTCCTGCACCTGCTGAGGTTACCATGAAGGATTCTCTTTCACAACTTTGCTCCTCACCTAAGGCATGGTAATCCTCAGGTTAAACCATCACCAGTCATCTCATTCTCTGATCTGATAAGAGTTATGACATCTTTATCTGTGGGGTAACACACCAAGTGGTATCAAAACATTATTGTTGTTAGTTCCTCCACCAAGGCCTTCAATAAACCAAAAGATCTGCAGCATGATCCCTGGATTCCTGATATTATTTCTTTTAAAGTAAAACTTGAGGTTTTCTCCGCTGCACCGTTCTCATGCCCAGGGACTTCTGACTGCTCACATTTAAGTCAGCCTGAGATACCAGGTGTACATAAAGAAACAAATGTAAGTTGAGAAAAAAAATTCACACAGCGAGTAGCTAGGGTCTCGAGTTCACTGCCAGGAATCAACATGGAGGCAGGATTCACCTGAGGCATTCAATAGGCTTTAGATGATTGTTTAAATAGAAACAATGTGCATGGTCATGAAGAAAAGATGGGAGAATGGCACTAAATCAAAATGGTCAGACAGCCAGTGTTACATGATGGGTTGAATTGCCTTCTTCTTAACCATAACAATTTTGTGATAATGTGATTTGTACAAACTCTGTCAGGGAATGGTCCTGCTCTAAGAGTGAACTCAGGACCTGCAAATGCTCCATGCTGTGATTCCTTCCCTCAAGGTATCCAGGGGAAGGCTTAGAGACTGGCTCTAATGTGTTTTAAAAGTTCACTGTTCATTGTTAAGTAGGGACACACGGAAATTAGTTTGAGTATAATTAGTTCTCACACCTAGAGAGGAAATGTATAGGAAAATGATCTAATTTTAGCAATGATGATTGAGGGCCAATTGTTAACCACATATGAAATGATCATACATAATTCAAAAATATTTATGTACCATCAGTGTAGTCCTGATGATGAGTTGACTCAGAAACAAGAAAGAAGAAGAAAGACTCCACTTATACTTCAGATTGTCTGCTGCTGAGGCCGGGATTTGTAGTTAACTGTTGTGGCAATGTACAAGGATCTCTACATTGCAATTTTCCTGATCACACTGGAGATGGAGACTAGTTAAGAATAAGGAAAAAAAGAAGCAATCACAAATTCAGGATGTTCCAAAGTGCTTTTCAGCCAATGATGTATTCTTGATAGTCACCGTTTTAGGGCAGTAAATAC